TATATAAATCACAAAATCTTTTCTTTTCGAGGCACGTATCTAAAACAAATAAACTCAGCAACAAAAATAATTAGTAATATCATTATAATTAATTATTATAATTAAAATTATCCTACGCTCTTTAACCTTCTCAGTCCCTACCTACTGCGAGATCCCGCCAAAACTGTACATGTTGGTGCCTCTCATTTACGTGCATATATGTGTACATACATTACTGCATTCTTCTAGCAGCGCAGTGCGCATGCGCGAAAACGCGACTTCGCAACAACACTGCTATGATGTAGGGATGAGCACATGATATCGATATATCGACAATATCGATATAATTCTTTTGATATTCGATATTTTAGTATCGATTATCTGTTATTGATAATATCAAAAAGGTATCGATAATTTTATTTGATATTGAATATCGCATTGTTTGATCGGAATTATAGGATACATTCTGATTGGTCAATTTCCTTACGGCTACGTCTTACCAGGGTTGGGTTCACGTATTATACATGAGATATTGTACATTGTATTTTATCAAAACAAATGTTTGTATAATAACAATTATACAACTAAACACAACAACTATACAGTTTATAATTTGTATAATTGTTGTTTAGTTGCATAATTGTTAGCTGCATTAGATTATGTGAGCATCAAAGTTGGGCATGTATTATACCGTATAATACGTGCCCAACTTTGATGCTCACATAATCTAATGCAGCTAACAATTATGCAACTAAACAACAACTATACAAATTATGAACTGTATAATTGGTGGTTAGGTGTATAATTGTTATTATACAAACATTTGTTTTGATAAAATACAATGTACATTATCTCATGTATAATACGTGACCCCAACCCTGCGTCTTACGATCGTAAGTAATTTTGTGTGTGATGGCCTTTAGGCCTGTTCTACAATACAGTCGTAAGCTGTAAGTCGTAAGAAATTGACCAATCACAGATAAATCACAGAAGAATAATCGATTGTGATTGGTCAATTTCTTACGACTTATGGCTTACGACGTATTGTAGAACCAATCACAGATCAATTAAAGAGGAATACTCAATGGTGATTGGTCAATTTCTTACGACTTACAGCTTACGACTGTATTGTAGAACAGGCCTACATGTGAAAAAATTTTAGCCGTAACCGTAAAGTCGTAAGCAATTTAACCAATTAAGGGTCGTCTACAATGGAGAGTTTTAGACCGTAACAGTAAGAAATTGACAAATCACAATCAATTATTCTTCTGTACTTTGTCTGTGATTGGTCAATTTCTTACTATTACGGCCTACAACTCTCCATTGTAGACGGCTCTTTACAGACCACTATTATCTTACATTAGTTGGAATGCTGGCCAGCGATTGGTCGATTTGCTTACGACCTTGCGACTACGTCTAAATTTTTGCTACGTGCAATGGCCTTGAACATCAAATGGAACGTATTCTGCAAAAGTGGAACTATAATTGAAAACAAGGCTTACTCTTATCTGTCCAATTATGGCTGTGTTTCAAAATTCACTGCCAGCGCTAAAGATCTATAGTTTAAGTCACATATATTATACAATTTTAGCACTGGCAGCGTGCTGGCAGTAAATTTCGAACACAGCCTATAACGCACGAAACTGTATTGTAGAACAGGCTTTCAGTTATTACTGGCAGCATAGAGCTTATACTCATGGAGAGGCCCTGCCTATATGCTAACCATAGAGAGGGCTCCGCCGGGAGGATCGACAAAGAGAGATATATTTCGATCAGAGAGAAACCTGAGAGCGGCCATCCTANTGTAATTTTTTACGACGGTTTCAGCCGCTGGTTTTAGCCGCATTTCCACAAAAGTGGAACTCAAAGGCCGTTCTCCATGAAACTCAAGTCGCAGGTCTCGTGGAACTGATCAAT